TAAGAAAAATCTTTGAGCCTAATGGCTAGAGAGGTTTCTCTGTGCCCAAGCATCAGCCGTCGCTCCACTTCGGTGGAAACATTCTGATGTCCTCTCGTCCTTTGTAGTTATCACGAAACAGGACCTAAAATAGAAATCAAAAGAGCAAAGAAAGTTTATGTTTTTGGGAGATCCTGAATTTTGATCTGAGAGCCAGTCTCCGGTCCCCTGTGTGGCCTCATCCACGGGAGCTTGGCTCCTGTTCACTTCTGGCAGAAAATGAGCTTGCGGAGGATCAGTGGGCAATAGCGATGTGCCCTCAAGATCATTTGCTGGAAAGTCCTGGAAAGTTCTAATTCTAGAGCCTTAGAAGTTTCTCCCGCATAGAAACTCAGACTGAATGCAGAAAAGGGTTTGGGTAGATTTCCAGGTACGTGTACACTTCAAAGGGCTAAGACACTGTCAAACCATCTCGGAAAATATCTGCTGAACCTCCCAGATTGCAGCTGCTGCTCCCTCAGCCATGGCTGCAAGGCTACAGACGCTGAACCTTGAATCAACATGGAAGATCATGGGGAGTGATAACGGCCGTTTTCCCGAATGGTATCATGCAATTGTTCTGATCTCTTCCTAACAGTTCTATATGAAACCATCATAAATCTAGAATGACGTTTTGGCCGAATAGCTGCGTAGGAAAACCAGGTTTCAGTCTGCATCCCACGTTCCGGTGCTACTTCGGGTGCGCTTCACCTTGATAATCCGAGGACTTGGATCTTGCATTAGCTTTCCGCAGACCAGTGGACCCGCGGCAACTGCACCACCAACAGAGGCAGTCATGACTTATAGTGAGTAATTAGTAATTAGTAACTATCTACTGTCTACTGACAAGCTGGATGGTTTGTTTTGTCTAATTTTGTTTGGATTCAATTTTGTTTGGATTCTGTTTGGTTTGGATGTTGGATGATTTGAATGACGTCCCTCTGAAAAGAGGGGTTGTGACTCACGTCACAGAAAAGCTTCTGGTGAGATGACCAAAAACAACAAAACGACCCATTCGCCTAGAGTATGTCCAATCATTGTGTTTGGCGAAAATATGTCCAATCCACTCCATCTTCAGTTTCAATCCACCCACTCCAGTCCACTGGCAGCTACATTTCACACTGTTCACTGTACACTGTACATGCCCCCTTGCTGGCTTCACCGCCAGGGACAACTCTGCCATGGTCAACTGATCAAAGCAACCTCGAACTGACTTTTCACTGGGCATCTCGAAATTGGGGGACCACATGCCTCGTCAGGGATGCCTGATGGGCCGCATGTAAATGTGATTCATCCAGTGATTGGGATCCCCTCGTTTCAAGACACCCCTCTTTGGTGCAGGATCATCGCTCTAGTCTTCGCACAGACCCGCCGAGCTCAGGTGGATCCAATGCCTCGAATCTCAAGGACACGGCCCTGATCGTCATCGACCTGAAGAGTTTGAACAGCGTCTCAATTGAAAGTCAATTGTTCCTAGTAGCGATGCCAGGAGCCCCGTTCGTAGCGTCCTTGCTCGATGCCCTTTGCTACTAGCAGCGTCCATGCTATTAGTGGCGATGCCCTTTGTTACTAGTAGTGCCGTTTGCGTGCCTTGTCACATGTTGCTCACGCACTCCGGCTTTGCTCATCTTTGCTCAATACCCAAATGCACAGCTGTGGTTCGAGTCCAAGAGAGAAGGCCAAGTGAGCCTTCCATTTTGTTGGAAAGCCTTGTTTGGGAACCTCGCGCCACGAAGGCTGCATTTTGCATGTTATTGTTGAGCAGTCAAACCCTTGTCAATGCCTTGTTTGCAGGAAATCTCAGGGGCACGATCATTCAAGAACTGTTTCCAAACCTGTTCTGGATTCTGGACAAAACAATACCAAATTCGCCAAATTTTGCCACGGCTAGCATTGATAATATGGTCATGGTTGTGACGATCAGCATGGAATGCGAAGGGGGGGAGGAAACGCCTTTGACCCTTCATGACCCTCAATGCCCGCAATGAAAGGAAGGGGAGAACATGCTTCAAGGTGGATTCAAAAGCAGTGCTCCACCAAGCCACTATCCGCACTGAGGCGCCAAAGCCTTCTGCCAACCAAATTGCCTCAGCAATGCTTTCTTTGGTGGATTTGTGTGTGTGTGTGTCACACCCTGTCTTTAAGGGATGCCTCAGCTTGGCCTGATCAGCCAGACGTACCTGCTGTGATTACCACTTACTTCCTCATGGGAGGAATGAGAATTTCTGGCCATCGCACCTGTTTGCATCGGCAGTCACGCACCTGTTTTGAGCTTGAAGTTTGAGCTTGGAGGTTTGCAGGTTGCTTTGAGGGAAGTCATTTCGCCTGGCACCTCTGGCGGTTTTTACTTAGGCTGGCGTATGGCAACCGCTTTCAAATCAGTACGCATTTCTATAAGTGTGTCTCTCCTCGCGAGAGCCCAGGTTGACCCCGAAGAGTGGCCCTGTGGACCCGTTGAATGGGGTTTGTCTATGTTTCCATTGCCGCGGAAACGCACGTGCGCAGAGCGGGCGGAGTAGGCTTGCGCCAAAATTGTTTGCCAAGACTTGCTGGACTATTGCATTCCAAGCTGGCTCTCTGCCGTTACGTGACCGCAGCGGGTCAGAGCGACCGAAGTATTTCTAGGTTCATTGGAACCTGTCGGGACCTTAACTTCCTTCCTCCCCCTACCCTCCCTGCGTTTTGGGGTGTTCCTGAGTGTAACACTCAGGTGCACCCCTCTCCTTGGTGTGTCCCTGGACGCTTGTTCGTAGCTGGGAACACCTGTCTTCTTCCTTCTCTTTCCTCCTCTTTCCTCCTCTCTCTCTCTCTCTCTCTCTCTTTTTCTCTCTTTTTCTCTTTTCTTTCTCTCCCCTTCCTTCTTGCTTCGGTGTCCCTGGATGCTTTCGTCATAGTTGGGAACCCTTTTCTTCCTCTCTTGCTGCGTCCTTCAACGCTTGTGTCGTAGCTGGGAACACCGTCGTTTCTCCTTCTTTTCTCTCTTCTCTCCCCATCCCTCATGCACAGTGTGCTTACACTCAAACGATTATTTGCCACAGGTTTTCATCGATTTTTGTCCCTTCATTTGGTTCCCCGTTTTTTCATCGCGTCTCCCCTTCACACACCTTTCTTCTCCTCTTTTCTTTCACGTCTCCCTGTCTTCATGTCTTTTCATCTCATCCTTTCTTTCGTTCGCGTACACATCTGTCCTGACCTTAGTGTGTACGTGCACATCTACACGTACTTTAAACACAGGGTTCGGGTCGCCCAGGTCTTTACAATGAAGTGGGTTTTCGTCGGTTGTCCCTGTGCACTTGGTTCCCTTTAATCGCAACCACACACACACACACACCTTTTTCTTGTCTTGTCCCCCTTTTCATGTTTTCGTTCTTTTGTCTTGCTGCACGCGCGCTTACACTTTCGCCCTGGCCTTAGTGTTTCTTGCCTCCCCTCGAAGGGGCGTGTGTGTGCAACCTTTGGAGTCATAAGGTTCCCTTTGGAGTACCCCTTTTTTTCTCAGCAGGGGAATCACCACGGACTTGACTGGTGACCCAACGAAGAGGGTCAAGCTCCGTACTGTGGCCTGATCAGCCAGACGTATCTGCTGTGATTACCACTTACTTCCTCGTGGGCCCCTTTGTCGCTAGAACAAGAATTTCTGGCCATCGCACCTGTTTGCATCGGCAGTCATGCATTTGTTTTGGGCTTGAAGTTTGAGCTTGGAGGTTTGCAGGATTCTCGTCGCTTTGAGGGAAGTCATTTGGCGGTGTTTGTACCTGGCACCTTAGGTGGTTTTTACTTAGGCAGGCGTGTGGCAACGCTTTCAAATCAGTACGCATTTCTATAAGTGTGTGTGTGTGTGTGTCACACTCTGTTTCCAAGAGTTTTCAACACGCAGGGGGACAGGACACCACTGGCACCGCCCGTCCAACGAAGAGGGCGCCAGTCGGTGCTGATGCAGTGGCGGACGCTCCACTGTGTACCTGCGAGAATTTTTGAGAAAGCTGTGACTCC